CTGTACACTGTATTTATAGAACTTGTATAATTATTATAGGCACTTACATCTTATAGCCACAATACTTTCCTCACTAGTAGCAATATCAGTTGAATCAGGTATAGTAATACTAGCAGTACATCTATAAGTACCAGAATCAGAAGCAGTACTGGTAGTAAAACTCAATGTATTAGTAACAGTGGTAATCATATTCTCTCCAGTAGTAGTCACAGTACCAGTTTCTATTGTACCATTATGTGTCCATGCTATTACCAGGTTTGGTATTACTATGGTTGGTTTAGTCGCTGTACAGGTAAGAGTAAAGTTATCATATGGGTCTGAATCAGGACATGATGTCTCCAGACCCAGAAATGAATTGGGAGAAGTAGAAAATTCTCCAATCACTGGATCTAACAAATAGGAAAATTCAATTGACTTTATCACAAATTAAAATAGATATATACTGATCTGGTGCAACTGGCATACAGCCAGTTAATGCTGTAAAGAAAAATTTACAAAATGTTCATTATTTGCACATTAAGCTTTTGGCTTTGACAGTTACTGTACTGGGGGCTGTGCATGAATTCACCCCAAACTTAAATTAGCACTTTTGGTACATCTGAAAACCCACAAAATTTAATTTTCTGCAAAAATTTCCAGCTGTTTATATAATATGAAAAATGTTTATACCAGATTGGAATTAGCTTTATAAATTTGGGCTTTGATTTGTATAAATGATACATCAGAATAATGATAACTTGTAATACTAACATACATTATGCATGCATGTACTTACCAGTAACCGTTAAGTTAACATTCATATAATTAGTGTCGGAAGTCGTAACATATTTATAAGCTGGAGCTGGTACTATAGTAACAATACATGTATATGTTCCTGAATCCTCAGTACTGCTCAATGTAGTGAAATTAACAATTGATCTATACTCATTGAAACCTGATCTCATCATAACAGAGCTGATATTAACACGATCTGTATCAGCAAGCACCATTGAATTAGGATCAGTAGCAAAATCCCCACTACTCATGATTGGTTGATCAGTCATGTTCCAGGTTACATTAACAATGAATGGTGTATCAATGTTAGGATCAACACTGATATCACATATTAGTATCAGGTTACTGCCAGCAAAGAAATAATTCTTTTTTGATCGACTCACACCAACAGATGGAATAGGAACTGAGAAATAAATTAAAAACAATTATTGAAAGGAATAAGTACACAATATAATTAAATGAATGAAAAAAGGAACTGGTACATAATACAATAACAAAAAGTACACACAAAAATTAAACAAATGGTAAATTTTAAATTAAAAAAATTAATTATTATAGTGGTATAATAGCTTTAAAAACTCCTACATGTACAATTTAGACTAACCATACACTGTAATAATATTTGCTTTAATAGATAACACTTTCAATGAAAAAATAACAATATCATACACATAAGTACATACTTTATAATACTGCATCTTTGATAAAATACTAGTCACTATTGTCATAATAAGCTTACTTTCTAAGGGCAAGTTTGATGTGTCATTATTCCTTGCTACCATGGATATCTGACTAACATTAATGGAGGCTTCACAAGTATACAGACCAGCATCGGAAGTATTGAGAGAAGAGAAGTTCAAATAAAGAGAACTCATTACATTAGATACAGTCATAAAAACTGGAGGTACACTAATAGCATTGTTAGCTGATCTCTTAGTCCATGTTATCACTGGTGAGACTATGAGTCTATCAACAACTGTCACTGTACAATTTAACATGTATTCTTCACCAGGTTCAGCAATACCCATAGATATTATCTCTACTACTGGCACTGGAGTAGCTGAGAAAAGGAAAAGCATAAAGTAACAACTAACAAACACTATAAGGTGACATTTTACATAAAGCTTTCAGCATAGACACTCTAGTATCTATGATTTCAGACTACATAGTGCAAGACCTCAAATTCACAATCATTCAAAGACACAGCCCAATATAATAGCAGGTACAATTACAGACACAGGTACAATGGTACAATAGTCTCGCCACGGGCGTGGCGAGACTAAATGGTACAACTACACAAGAGCATATGATACATTAGTATATACAGCATAGATTACACTTACCAACAACTGTAATGGAAATATTAGCACTAGCTGATGTATTCCTGAGATACATGTAACTATTAGGAGCAGTCACTTCAACATTACAACTATACATTCCAGTGTCATTAGCATTATCCAATGGATAGAACATTAATGTTGCATTATAATTTAATGCATCAATCATATTGAGACCCTCAGTAATAGTATCAGAACCAATAGGAACATTAGTATTATTGTGAGTCCATTGATTAGTGACAGTCACTGGTATAGTAACTAATGGATCTAACATTATGTCACATTTGATGAAGAATGGTGTCCCTGCATATAATGTATCATCCCGTTCTTTTGATATGGTAACAATCACTGGTGGAACTGTAAAAAATAAAAAATAAAGTATTTTGACAATAACTCAATTTTTATACTTTATTACTTCAGTAAAGTAGAGTAACTTACAGTCAACAGTTAAATTAAAGACATCACTAGCCTCTTGATAATCATAAGTAGCAGTGCTAGGATCATTGGTATCATTCGCACCAGTTACATTAAACTCAGCCATACATGTATACATTCCAGCATCTTCAAACCTCACTGGATCCAATATTAGAGTATAGTTAGTAACTGAACCAGTATCATCTGTTGTGATACTGTATGGTCTATTTAAGCTAGAGAGCATTTCCATATCTGTATCATTCATTTTAATGAAAGTAACCATTGGTGTTACTACTAATCTCTCAACTGTTGTTATGGTACATGTTATAGTTAGACTCTGACCAACTTCAACTGAACCAACTGATGAAAAATCTACTGTCATTGGAGGAAGACCTGGTAGAAGAAAAGAAAAGACAGGGCATACATAGGGATGAAGAGATTGTGAGACAAAGAGTAGAGAATTAGGAAAGAATGGACATGCAAAAAGAGAGAGGAAGAGTAGGTAATGGGGGAACAGTATTCGATGTAGTACATAATAAAACTTACTTTCAACAGTAACAGGGAGGGTAGTATCAGTAGGTTGACTTGATGCTATTAATGAGTTACCAGAATTGATGATCATTTGACAGGTATATGTTCCTCCATCATTATTAAGACCAGTATCGATAGGTTGAAACAATAGCATGCTTACAAGATTGTTACCAGTTGGAGGTATCACTTGACGTCTTGCTTCATTAGTTGGTATTACATTACTACTTGGATCAGTCCATACTACACTAGCAGTTACTGGTGTATTCACTATTGTAGTGTTTACTGTAGCTGTACAGGTTAGTAAGTAACTTGTACTCTCATATATTGGACCAGATAGAGGATCAGCAACTATTGATATACTGAGAGGAGATACTATAAAAAGAATAATTCCTTTAAATAGTAAAATAATAATTAATACTAACTTTGAACAGTTAAATCTCTGTTAGTACGATCTACAGTGCCAAATACTACAAATGTTGCTTGACAGTAATATTGTCTAGCATCAGTGGTCTTCACTGGATCAAGTGTAAGTACACTGGTGAATATATTCCCATTTCTAACAACAGGTACTAGTGTAGCATCATTGTTTTCACTAGTCACATCTTGAGATGCTTCTAAATCATAAGTCCATCTGACACTAGTAAGATTCTCAACAAAATTAGGAGGTGCCACTATAACACAAGACAAATTGAATACATCACCAGCAACAGGAACAGAAGGAATATTGATACTTATATCAACATGATCGATATCAAACCCTATTAAAAATAAATGACAAAATATGACTGTTAATGTATTCACTTACTTGCTACAGTTAATGTAACTCCACTGCCATTATCATTCCCTGCTAGTATAAAAGGAGTATTAGGAGTCACACTAACTGAGCAATTATAACTAGCACCATTATCAAGTTCATCTCTTAAACTATTAATACGTAACACACCAGTGTACTGATTATTAGTCATAACTGGAGGACTGATAGTAAAATCACTTCCATTGGTCAGTACAGTGTTATTTCTCCTCCAACTCATAGTAACACTAACACTAGTATCAATATATTGACTGATGTCAGCTATACACATAATATCAAGAAACTGTCCTTCTGCTAGTTCTCCATCTACTAAATGTCCAGTAGCATTATACTCAACAATAACTGAAGGAGTAGGTACTATAAAAACAGTAAATAAAAATATATAATGTATTCAACTATTTCAACATACATGTTAGTATGACTTGAGTAGATTCCATTCCATTAAATTCATAGTTTATATCAGGTTGAGTGATATTAACAATACATTGATAGTCTCCAGCATCAGATGATCTTATTGAATTAATCATAATCATTGCTGTAGTATCACCAGATCCAGTAGTACTAGTAATAAGTTCTCCATTTCTTACTATACTGCTAGTAACATTAATATTGTACAGGTCATCTAGCACATCAACTGTACAATCAAGAGTTAAACTCTCTCCCAGTGATCTACCAGTAGTATTAGTGAATGTGATATTAGGAACAGGAATGGCTAAAATAATAGTAAAATGAACATTTGTATTTTACACTACATGTACATTACCTTGTACAGTAGCAATATATTCATCAGAAGCACTGCTTGGTATTATTAATGGATTATTAGCACTATCTCTTGCTGTAGCAGTACATGTATAATTACCAGCATCAGAGAAATTGAGTGGTTGAAAGGTAAGAGCACCAGTAGTTCCAGTCTGAATTGCTATTACTCTGGAACTGTTCTCAAATGATAGTTGTACATCATCTTTGAAGACAATAAATGAGACATTAGGATTAGTAGGTAAAGGAGGAGTGAAAACAACAGAACAGCTAACAGTTCTAATAGTTCCACAAATAAAAGAAGAATTATTATCAGGAGATATGGATACTTGAGGTAATGGTACTGCAAAAGTAAATATAAATTATAAATGGTGAAACTAGTTAATTTTACTTACTTCTTATACTAACAGTTGTATTAGCAGATCCATTTCCATTAAACAGAACACCTCCTGTATCAACAGTAAGACTAGCTTGACAAGTATATACTCCAATGTCTGCATAGTTAAGGGAATTAAAAATTAAGTCATATCTTTGTACAGTATCAGAAATAGTCATTAAATTAAAACTTAATCCATTTCCTTCAGTTAATTGAATTCCACTGCTATTAAACCATGTTATATTGAGGTCTCCAGCTACAATTGTAACAGTACAGTTTAATGAATATGATTGATTAGCAAAGACGGGTTGACTTAAAAATATAGAGACAACAGGATTAGCTAACAAAAGAGAGCAGAAGAAATAGTCTAATAATACATGTTACTTACTTAATGTCAGGAGGTTGTACATAATGCTTGCTGTTTTAGTTGTTGGTACATCAGGAATACTAAGAGTAGCTACACAAGTATAATCATCTCTTTCATGAGTAGAAACATTAAGAGAACTGAATGATAATGTGGTCATAGACCCACTATTAGTAACAGTGACTCCTTCCAGTATATCATTAGTAAACACAGTACCATTAAGAAGCCATTGAACACTAACAGTAGCAATACTTGATACATTAGCTGGTGCAGTTCCAGTACACACTAACTGGAATGAATCCCCTGATACTGGAATACCAACATCATAAATTGAAACTGCTGGCGATGGTATAACTATGAGAAAAAATATATGTTGCTAGCAAATTACAACTCACTTTCAATTATAACATTGATATTATTTGATGTGGCAGTAGCTGGTGTAATCAGTTCAAATCCATTCACAGTACTAGCAGGTCCAACACTAGCAGTACAATAGTAATCAGTTCCATTATCTGATAGAGATGCAGTGAATGTTAAGCTACTTCCATTAGTAGTTGAGTTGATTATCCCAGTACCAATGCTATACTTAGCATCATTCATTGTAATGAGTCCATTAGGTCCAAACCAGTTAATGGTGACAATTTGATCAACATCTACAAGATTAAAAGTGACAAAACACAACAACTGAATGTCATTGCTCTCAAAAATACGTCCTGTTGCATTAACACTAGCTATGACCA